GTCTCAAATTTCTGGGCTCAGGCAATCCTCTTGTCTTGGCCTCCCAAAGTGCTGGGATTTACAGGCATAAGCCACCATGCCTGGCCCAATTTAGTTTTTAAAAATAGGTTTTCTACATAGGTCAATGCGCATAGTCTTACTCTTCCTTTCTACTCTTTCCACCTGTATGTATGTATTTATTTTTGAGTCAGAGTCTCACTCTGTGGCCCAGGCTTGAGTAGCTGGAACTACAGGTCTATGCTGCAACGCCCAGCTTATTTTTTGATTTATTGTAGACACGAGGTCTCATCAAGTTGCCTAGGCTTTTCTCAAACCCCTGGGCTCAGGTAATCCTCTTTCCTCAGCCTCCCAAAGTGCTGGGAATACAGGCTTGAGTCACAGTGCCCGGCCAACACCTTTTATTATGTTAATTATTGCACTGTCTAAAATTTCTGATTACAAAGTTGAACAGAAGGCTAAAAGTAGATAGTCTTACTTTGTTCCCAAACCTGGAACTATTTCACCATTAAACATGATAGTAGCTGTTGATCTTCCATAGACATCCTTTATAGAGTTCTTTTATTTCCAATTTTGCGATTGTTTTCATCATGAGTTGGCAATAAACTGTGTCAAATGCTTTTTCTGCCTCTAAGATGCTTATATGATTTTCTCCTTTATCAATGTATTAAATTATTAATGTTGGGCAAACCTTGCATTCTGGGATAACTGACCACTGTATTTGACCTTTTTTCATAACTTACTAGTACTGCATGCAGAAATTTTGTATCTGTATTAATGGATAATATTGAACTGTGATTTTTTTTTTCTTCTAACGTCTGTTATTTTTCTGAGGGTTACACTGTTATTATTCTCTCCTCTATTTTCTGGAGTTTATGTAAAATCGACATATGTCTTTTAAATGTTTGCTAGAATTCACCTGTGGGCCTGAAGTTTTCTTTGTATTTTTAAATTATGAATTCAAATTCTATAATGGATGTATTCAGATATTCTATTTCTTCTTCAATATTTTGATGTTTTTTTCAAAACTTTTTTTCATTTATTCTAAGTTATCAGATTTTATTGGTCTAAATTATAATTGGGATTTTTCAACCTCAGCACTACTGATAATCGAGGCCAAGAAACTGCTGAAGGGGACAGTTCTGTGAATTGCAGAATGTTTAGCTGTTTCCCTGGCCTCTACCTACTAGGTGCTGATCAGACTCCCCACCTGTGACTACCAAAAATATCTCTGGACATTGCCAATTGTTCCCTGGGGGCAAAACACCTCTGGTTGAGAACCCAGGTTTTAATGTCTATGGAATCTTTAATATTCTTTCATTCTAGATACTAGTAATTTGTCTATTTTTCGATGACCTTTCCTAGGGTTTTGTAAGCTATACAAAAGTAGATTAAGCCCTGAACTTGGCCAGTGGGCCTCTTTGCTGATCCTGACTTAGACCATTACTTTTTTATTTTCTAATGAAGGCATGAAAAACCTATAAATTTCCCTCTAAGAGTACTCTAGCTGCACTTCATAAACTGTCAAATGTTGCACTGATGGATATTAATCAGTTAATAGTTATGAAGAATGTTTAAGAAGATAACGTGTGAGCTTTACTGAGTGTTATTCCAACAAAACAGCTTACAAATGGACTTCTGGTTCTGTGAGAGACGAGCCATGATGAATAATATTAACTCCATAATAAAATTAAGTCACATAAATTAGGTACATTTCCCCAACTGGTCGATAGATTGCTATACATTCCCATAATCTGGCAGCACTATTCTATTGGCTCTTCAACCTAAGCAAAGCCAGTCTGCAACACCCACAACATTCACTAAGACAAGAAAATTACGACTTTCTTATACCTTATCGAGTATCGATCTGCTGCCACCTGCTGGGAGGCAGAAATGCATTTCTGGCATCCTTGAAAGGTGAAGAGAAACAGCTATATAAATTTTGTAATTTCTTATAAATAAGCATAGTGAATGTTTTCTTTAAAAAAGATAAACGCTAGCTGTATTTTGTCCCAAACTTTTTGTTTTCAAAAATTTCAAACTTAGATAAGAGTTAAAAAGAACACTCATATACTATTCACCTGAAACCACTCTTAGCAAAGTGTTCTATATTCTCTTTCTCCACATTTTTTTTGTTTTGGTTTGTACTAACTGAAAGAAATTTGCAGACATCATGACTTTGTTCCTAAATTCTTGAGCATGCATTTTCTGAGAACAAAAGAATTCTTCTAATAACCACAGTACCATTATCATTCCTGAGAAACTTAAGTCATTAATACACTATGCTTCCATGTTCAGATTTTTAAAATCCTTAATCCTATCCAGTTAACAGTCGTCTTTAATGCAGATCAGTCCTCCCGTCTTTTTTTGTCCTTTGTTTTTCATGATATTGATATTACTGAAAGCTCAAACAAATCACATCCTGAATTTATCTGAGTGCATCCTCACTTCTGGCGAGAATGCTTCCTAGGTGCACTTCCGTGGCCACAGCAGCGGCAGGTCCCTGTTTCCCCAGTACTGGTTGATGCCAGCAATCTTTTCCCCCATGAAGCATCCATCAACATTTTGCAAAGGACTGCTGCTCCACGGAACCCAATCTAGGGAACAGCTGAATAAGAATAAAAAAGCGAGCCAGGCTCGGTGGCTCAGCCTGTAATTCCGCGCCTTTGGGAGGCTGAGGTGAGTGGATTGCCTGAGTCCGCGGGTTCAAGACCCACCTGGGCAGGCGAGACCTCATCTCTACAATAAATCAAAAAATTAGCTGGGCGTGGTATCGCGTGCCTGTAGTTCCAGCTACTTGGAAGGCTGAGGCAGAAGGATCGCGGAGCCCAACAGGTCGAGGCTGCGGTGGCCGGGAGCGGCCACTGCATTCCAGTCTGGGTGATAGAGTGAGACTCCAACTCAAAAAAAAAAAAAAAGAATAAAAAAGTGACACTCTCAAGTGTTTCAGAGTTTGTAAAACAAGAAGCAGGTAAGGATTTTTAAGTGAACAAACTTCCACATCGGGCAATCTGAGCTTTCATAAAACTTTAATCATTGCCACACCCCCCCCCAACAAAAAACACTGTACAGACAAGCAACCCTGAGCTTAAAGACATGAAGTATCCACCATCTCGAGTCCTGTCCTTCGAGTCCTGGGTCTGCGCTCAGCGGCTGAGATCTGAACCGAGGTCTGCCGGCGTCCAGGCTCTTTCCACCTGACCGTCTGCTTCATGCAGACTCACGTGGAGTTTTCGGTCATCGGGTCCACGATGACCCTTTGGGCTAAAAGCGGCAGTCCTTTTAGGCCAAAGTGTAACAAGGAAGATGTGAGGGACGACCAACGATTCATTTTTTCATTGTTTCCCACCCATTAAGAATCAGCCTGTATCAAATAGCAGAGAGTGGCCAGACCCTTCCCAAAAGCATGCAACTGGGAAAATCCTACGGGAGCACGGAGATCTCGATTCCAGAAGCCTGCCATACGGCGGGCGCAGCCCCCATGCGTAACCACCTCGCCATAATCCGACCCTGATCCTTGCCTACGCAGGCAGTCTTCAGCACATCACAGCAAACATTTGAGAGACGATGTTTCCTCCAAACGCTACAAAGTACACAGCAGTTTTATATTTATTACATCATCTAACGAGTTTTTTGTTTGTTTTGTTACCATTCCGCCTCGCAGAGAGCTGTAGCAAGAATTATGCAACCTTTTTTTTTCTTGGAAGCAGGAGTCACTCTGTCGCCCAGGCTCGAGTGCAGGGGCACAATCACAGCCACCTCAGCCTCTACCCTCTGGGCTCAGGCGGACCCTCCAGCCTCCGCCTTTCAAGTAGCAGGAATTACAGGCACGTGCCACCATGCCCGGCTCATTTCTTTGATTTATTGTAGAGATGAGGTCTCGCCAAGTTGCCCAGGCTGGCCCCGAACCCCTGGGCTCGGGCAATCCTCTCGACTCGGCCTCCCCGGGGTCTGACATAACAGGCACCGGCCACCGCAGCCGGCACGCTTGTTTTTATCTCCATTCCTGGCTGGCGCCTTCCCGGGCTCGGGTGACTTCCCGAGGGCATCCCTGCAGCCTGCAGCCCGTCCTGGCTTTTGGGGAGCACGCGAAGCCGCCTGCAATCCCAGCACTGTGGGAGGACGGGGCAGGAGGATCGCTTAGGCCCAGGAGTTCGAGACCAGCCTGGGCAGCATGGCAAGACCTTGCCTCACAAAAAATAAAATGAAAAATGAATCAATAGCAGACCGCGGGGACCCCCAAAAGGAGGGAGGCGAGTCCAATGTTCACCATTTGGGGACATCAGAAGCCCAATCCCCACGGTACGCCCTTGTAACACACAGGTACTTGTAGCCCACCCCCCACTTCTGAAATAATTTTTTGTAAAAAACGAATTAACGTGAACGAGTGCCTTTTAAAAACGGTGGGCCTTTCAGCCTCTAAAAACCACGCCGTGGGGCAGACATTTCAACTCTCTTCCCGCTGAACGCCGAGAGTTTGTTCCCACAGGTTGCACGTGACTTTGCGGAGCCGGAGCGTCTTGAACGTCACCAGGTGTCAAACGTTACGCGCCTGGCCGTTTAAGCGTCCCGGCGGCGGCGCAGGGGGTCGGGACGGGCCGGTCCCCGCGGACCGCCGGGACCGGACTCGGCCTCCGACTCCAGGGGCCGCCCGGGGCTCGGGACAGGAAGGGACCGGCGTCCCCCTGCCA